ATTGTATTATTGTTGACTGTCAGTAATTTTTTTAAAGGATACGATGTATTAAAAACTTGGTTGTGATTCACTAATTTGGAATCACAGAATTGGAATGTGTTCTCCAACACCATGTAGTCCAATCCCAGTTCACAGCAACCTTGTATTTCAGTACAGATGCTCTTAATTTACACAAGGTTGTATTCCTGGGCTCTTCTTTGAGCAGGTAGGCTGGATCCCTTCTAAATGGCTGGATTTACACTCCCAGTCCAGTTTTAGAATGTGGATTAACTGCATTGAACTGGATTATATCAGTCTACACTACCCTATAATCCAGATCAATGCAGTTAATCCACATTCTGAAACTGGATTATAAGGCAGTGTAGGTCTAGCCACTGTCATATTATCAAGGAGGACCTTTCTAATTCCAGTACGCATTGGAGAACTGATTTCCTGAACAAGAAAATGCCACATATTCTAGTGACCTACTTTTATTTTTCACTATCAAAAACAATGTTTTAAATGGTTTAAATTCAATAAGCAGTATAATACTATTTTAATCATATTGTTGTGTATGTTTTTAGCTACTTATATTGTTTTTTATATTTCTTTTAAGTTGCCTTGATTTACGGAAAAAGAGGTTATAAACATAAGTAGAATAAAATATGATTAAAGCATAACCAAAAGAACTCTAAATTCACTATGCCAGAACTGACAAAGCAAATGATCAGGGGATGACATCTATCCTATGTTTGGAGCTTTTTAGTTTACAGGAAAAGTGTGCAATAGAGATTTGGCAGAGGTGTCTATTTATGCATCATGTGGATGAAGGGATAAGATGTTTTTTCTTCACTCTTTCATAATACAAGAAGCAGGCATCATCCAGTGAAGCTGAATAATAGTGTGAAATTTAGGGCAGACAAAAGGAAGAAGTACCTCTGGACACATGAGACAATGTATAACTGAAGAATGGAATTCACTAACACATGTTGTGTTGGCGGCCATTAGTACATTAGAAACCTTTGAGGATATTGAGGACTGCAGTCCTGCATCAGATGGACCTAGCATAACGCTCTACCTCCATCCATTGTATGTTTTCCCTCTCTCTCCTTTAGCTGTCAACTGCAAGGGGGGTTACTTTAGCTACTTCTTATGGATGGTGAAGGAAGGGATGGAGAGGCAATTCAAAGGGGCAAAACATAGCTGGCCCAGGTTATAGAGGGGAATAAATGAAAATGTGTTTCCAAATAATGTACACCATCCCTTTTCTTACTCCTGGGAAAAAGATTAGCTACTTCCACAGACAAAAAGAGACATAAGAAACTAAGAGCATTCTGCCCAAGATCATCTCTAACTACTGGCCATGATGGATATAATATACATGAATTGATATCCGTGATTTCACTTACTCACTTATCCTCCCCTGCTTTTAGAAGTGTTTGTGTGCCTCTCTAGGGGCCCATTCAAACAGGTCCAAAAACCAAGACCTGTTTCTGTTTTTACTGGAGGCATCCAAACAATGTCTAATGGGGTATTTGGCCTGTGGAGACTCACTTCCTGGTAGTCCTGTGACTATCCAAGGGTGAGTCTCCATTGTCATAGCAAATTTTTTGGACTCCTGGAGGCCAAAGGTGCGAGATGGTGCCCACCCCCCAACCCAAGCCCCCAATTTAGCCCCTAAAAGTTAGTGAAAATGTGCCTGGCTCCCATAAGTTCCCTCCTTATGTCCTCCTGGTGTGAGGAAATTAAGCGTGAGAAGCCGGATGAGGGGGAGGAGGCATCATTTCTTCAAGTCAGGAACACACGAGGAGGAAAATTATGGCAGCCAGGTACCTTTTCTTTAACTTTTAGGGCGAAATTCGGGGGCTTTGGTGTGGTGACATGCCATCCTGATTTTAATCAGGATGGCATTAGCCACCCTCACCCTTCAGGAAAGCCTGGAAGGGTTGGGAGTGGGGACAGAAACCAGCACAGAAGCAAGTTATATAAACATGTTTCGGAGCAGATTTTGAAGCTGCGTGGAAGCACCCTAGGTTAGTCAGTGAAATTCTATGGTATGCATCTGGCCCAAGTATTGTCAAAATAGGGTTGGTTATTTATTTTTGTCCAAAATTTATTTACTCTTGGGCAAGTTCAGCACAAATGATAAAAAGCTCCAGTGTTTTGGTTACACTTCCAGCAAAGCTATGACCTTTTATGCATCTTTGATCATTTTTCTGGTGTTATATCCCATATCATTTTATAAATGTAAAAAAAATATCTTTGACTGCATAACTTTTGGTAAATTTAAGTCGTTTCTTCCAGAATTCTTCTCATTCTTCTAAATGTATTGTTCAGCCTACATGTTTTGCCCACTGGGTGACAGGTTCTTTTACTTCTTCATCAACCATGAAGCCTTTCAGAAGGAACTGATAGAGTTTTCCTATCTGTTTATCTTTTATCTGTAGTAATAGGTTCAAATGACTCTCAGATTTTTGAATATCTTTCTTTTTATGTAACCCAGTGGTTCTCAATCTGCATCCCCATGCATTTTGGCCTCCAACTCCCAGAAATCCCAGCCAGTTTACCAGCAGTTTGGATTTCTGGGAATTGAAGGCCAAAACATCTTGGAGACCCACAGATTGAGAACCACTGATCTAACCAATGTCTTTGTTGAAGTTGATAATAATGAAACCAGACCTCACAACCTCTGAGGATGCCTGCCATAGATGCAGGCGAAACATCTGTGGAATTTACTCCCTGGGGAAATTAGATCAGCGACATCCCTCCTTTCCTTTAGGAAAAAATTGAAACTTGGATTTGGGACCAGGCATTTGGACATTCTGGCAGCTAAAGAAAGGACTTGACGATGGACAGGAATTGACTAAACGGAATGGAATTATGGAACTCTGAACGCTGAACATGAGATTAGTTTATTGATTGTGTTATGTACTGATTGTTTTAACTTGCTAATTGTTTTAACTGCTGTTTTGTATGTATATATCTTGTGTAGGCATCAAATCGTGCCTTTTTGTAAGCCGCCCTGAGCCCACCCCCCCAGGGGTCGAGTAGGGCGGGGTAGAAGTACCAGAAATAAATAAATAAATAAATTGGAGAGAATGCTTCTGGAACATGGCCATACAGCCCAAAAAACTTACAGCAACCCAGTGATTTCAGCCATGAAAGCCTTCGACAACACATTAAACCACGTCATTGTTGAATCTTGTTTCCACAAACCCTGTAGTGTTTAAAATTTCTGTGGTGCCCCTTATCTAATAATTGTTTATAAGTTAAATATTCTCTCCTTGGTGTTCTTAACTGTGTAAATGCCTCTCGAGGTTTCAATAATTTTGGTATTTTATTGTAAAAGAGTATTTTATAATTCATAATTCAATATTCATAATTATTTCTGAATAGTTCCGAATTACTATTTGCTAACTGAATTCCCAGTTATTTTACTTTAGTTGTAATATCAATTTTTGTTTTTTGTTTCAGCATCCCTTAATTCTCTTTAATCATATTATGAGTTACACTGTATATGCAGAATTGTAGTTCAGGAAGAGTAACACCTCTAAGGCAGTACTCGTTGCTAGGAAGAATACCCATAGATAGAGTTCTATTGTCCTTGTGTCTTGATGTTCTTTTTTCTGGTTGGCTATGTGATAACCAAAGATACTGGAGTATCTAAACTTTTTTTGCCTGGTGCAGTGTTGAGGAAAAGTAACTTTTGGAGTACAAGTTCTAGAGTATCCTGATGACCATGCTGGCTAAGAGTTTCTGGGAAGTGGCCTCAAAAAGTAACTTTTCTTGACTTTGGGTTCTTTTTGTGTTAGGTCAAATGAATATTTAGAAGTAGCTCAAAAGGTCAGAGAGATATAAATTAATTCACTGTATGGAAGACTGGTGGACAGTAGTCACATATTTGGAAACTAAACTTGTGAACTGGGATGGATCATGTAAGCACCAAACTATATGTTTGTATTAATTGGCTCAGAAAACATTGCTATTTATTTGTTATGCTAAGTGAACCAAAATAAATGTGAGCAACTAAGGAGAGTGAGCATAATTTTAAACTATAATTATAATTCTCTTTGTTATCTGTGGGGGAGAAAGAACAGGTTTGTTTATTGTTTTCTGTATTAGCTTTAAAAAAACCAATAAAACCCAATGTTCCAAAAATGAATTCTGCTTGTTTAATATTACAGAGTTGGAGTCCTTTGCAATGTAGGTATGCAAAATGTCATGGATAATCTGTTTCCTACTTCTGATTCAAGAGGATTTTTTTCAATAAATGTTTTCATGTTGAATATTGCCATTTTTTTTATAAATGACTGTGTTTTAAATTATGTATTCATCAAACCTTTATTTCCACTCTTTGCTGCCTTGCCAGGGTTTTACATGAGTGACAGATGAAATAGTTTGCACAGACAATAGATAAGACAGTAAAAGTGTTCCTAGTGGCTCCGTTTCAGCCCAGAGCTGATCCAATGTGTTCTGATAGCTTGAGTAAAAGGTGAAGGTGGCAATGGCCTCCCACAATTTAACATCTAGAAACAAACTGGATTGGTATTTGAAGGCCACATGTCACACGTAACCTTGTCCTTCCACAGGGAAGAATGGTTAGAAAGCTAGAGAGAAATGTCTACAAGGCTGCCACACTGTTGCCTACCAACATCTGCCACCTGAAATGGTTTCCTGACTCTGCTTCCTGGTAGGTCTGGCCCATACTTTTTGCTTCCATGTGAAAATTGCGTTTTTTGTCCACAAATTTTGATGAAAGCCATTTTATCTGGGAAAGACAGATAATCCCTCTTCTACAGAGTAGCATTCAGTCTTGCAGTTTTCCCCAAAAAGAGCCTCAACTGTTATAATTCAGGGACAATTTTATTGCCACATATACATGTTGTATGAAACAAAAGTCTGTGATACAGTGGCTTCGCTGCTGCATAAAAAGAAAAGGAAGACATTGTTTATTCCATTAGATCTTGCCCACGGTTTATAGCTGACTTTTTTCCTTGACTCTATTTTTCCTTCTACTTGGTTTGAGTGTCTTAGCATGATGGTGATCCTACTGAACTGTGTTACTCTTGGGATGTACCAGCCCTGTGATGATATGGATTGCCTTTCCAACAGATGTCAAATTCTGCAGGTAAGTAAGTCTCTCTCCAGAATGGCCACAGGTGAGCCATTGATGAGATCAGTATTCTCATTAGTCTTGTTGATATTTTCTGTGAAGCACTGTTAGTCATCAGCTAAAGCACATGAAAAGAAGCTCCATCACTAAATAGCATCTAAACATCGGATCTGACTCTTATTCCCACATCTGTTTTGGTAATCTCCAGTGTAAGTCTATAATATATTGCTGGTAACAAAGATGTTTATTCTTAGGTCAATACAAAAGTCTATCAGTGAAGCAGTATAGAATAATCATGGCATTATATACCTACATGTCTATTCCCACATCTGTTTTGGTAATCTCCAGTGTAAGTCTATAATATATTGCTGGTAACAAAGATGTTTATTCTTAGGTCAATACAAAAGTCTATCAGTGAAGCAGTATAGAATAATCATGGCATTATATACCTACATGTCGCTTTGTTTCCCAGAGAGGCGTAATTGTAAAACTGGTAATGAATGCTTATAAAATCCACTTCACTTTTTCTCATGGCCCTTTCAGGTATTTGATGACTTCATTTTCATCTTCTTTGCAATGGAGATGGTCCTGAAGATGGTGGCCTTGGGGATTTTTGGCAAGAAATGCTATCTTGGAGACACTTGGAACCGCCTAGATTTCTTTATTGTCATGGCTGGGTAAGTACCCTCTTCCTCCTCCCTTGCCTTTTTCTTCACCTCTTATAAGCACAGTGCATCCCATTGTGTTTCCAGAGATGGCAACAAGTACTCTCTTAGCGTGCTTTGTATTCTGTACTGGCCAGGTAAAAGAACACAAGAATATATGTCATCTTTTGTGCAAAATGATAATATCTATCTTTTGTGTATAATTGTTCTTATTAATGCAAAAAGGAGGAAAAATAGAGCCAAAATATAATTCAAAAAACTGATATTCATTTATAGCCTCCCACATGTTCCAAAATCAAGATAATTGCAAAGAAAATGTTGGCAAAAACAAAAACAAAAAACAGAGGAGCTCACTGCATTTCAACTGGCAAATCAAGCATCTACACGATACCTTACTCTTTGTGAAATAAGAATTGTAACAGCCTACTCTGCAAAGCTGTCAGGAAGGCAAACACCAAAAACCATTAGCATACTTTCAAGTAAAAAAGTACTACAGCTTTTTCCACATATATAAGTCAATTTCTGGGTTTGTCGTATTGTCAAATGTGGCAACAAACAGAATACAGGAATATGCAATGATGCAAGAATTTGCTCAGTTCTGCTTTGAGTAACTAAGCTCCCCCTCCACACAACTGTATAAAATCCACATTGGATTATATGGCAGTGTGGACACAGATAACCCAGTTCAAAGCAGATATTGTGGATTCTCTGCCTTGATATTCTGGGTTATATGGCTGCGTAGAAGTGCCCTAAGGAAACAAGTTTTATTTTGAGACATAACTATCAAGGGGAAAGAACTTCCTACAAGAAAACTTTTCTTTATTGGATTACTCCACAAATGCCAGCCAACATGATCACTTTTCCAACTTCTGCCCCTAGCTATGTCTTGCCCCTGATATTGAGAGAGTTGAAGATGCCATGTATCTCCAAACCTGTCCATCCTGGTAAGAGAGACTGGGCCTTTCAGTGTCAGGAGCAGTGTACTATTCAATACTTTAGGTATTTTAATACTCTACAGGCACCAGATCCTGTCTGATCTTGGAAGTTAGGCAGGTCAACTTTGGCTAGTACTTTGATGGGAGACTACAAATTGATACTGTAGGCTATATTTCAAAGGAAGGAACTGGCAAAACATCTTCTGGCTATTCCTTACCTAAGAAATACCTATGAAATTCATGAGGCACCATAAATCAATAGGCAACTTGAAGGCAGACACATAGACAGCACATACCTATCTGTGTAGAACAGAGAAACATAGGGCACATCTGGAAATGGCTGCATTATATATGAGTACTATCCAAATTTAAGTATTTGAACTTACTAGAAAACATAAAGAGTAAGACAGGTAGGGACAAAGAGGAACCTTCTTGATCAAATGAGTGCTATTTTCCTTTTCAGACTTTTGGCATTCAGAGCATCTTTGTTTAAGAAAAAAAATAGAATAAAAAAGCACTGTGATTCTGCCTTTACATCCTTTTGGCCCACCTAAGGACACCAGAGGGACATGTTGACATTTGAGTGTTTTTAACAGCGAGGTTGCTATAGTACAGCACTGCTTTCCACTTCACGTGTCTCACGGCACACCAGTCAAGGTGCCCACAAGGATTTGCCAGTCAAATGTTTAGTGAGCTTTCACTGCCTGCTCTAGTGGACATAATTTTGCAAAATGGTTTTTTTATATCATTTAAAATATAGGGGGGAGGCATAGTTTTTTCCTGCAAAAGCAAATAATCATCTGTCATACTTCAAGGTGGATGAACTGGCGGAGGGGTCAAGCTTCAGCATAAAACAGGTTCATAGCATGAAAAGTAGCAGCAATTCTATTCTTCTTTCAGCCTAGCAGACCTGCTGGTTTATTCTAAACCAACAAAGATAATTTGATGCCATCTCAGAGATGTTATTGTCCTGACTATTTAGTCCTCATTGCTTCATGCTGTCCATTTTTATACAATCCAGAAATAAAGGGGGGAGCCATCAGAAATTGTGTTTTTATCATTTGACATATACTCTCACTTGGTAAAGGTAAAGGTTTCCCCTTGATATTAACTCTAGTCGTGCCTGACTCTGGGGGGTAGTGCTCATCTCAGTTTCTAAGCCAGCGTTGTCCATAGATGCCTCCAAGGTCATGTGGTCAGCATGACTGCATGGAGCGCCGTTACCTTCCCACCAAAGTGGTACCGATTGATCTACTCACATTTGCATGTTTTCGAACTGCTAGGTTGGCAGAAGCTGAGGCTAATAGTGAATGCTCACCCTGCTCCCTGGATTCAAACAGCCAACCTTTCGGTCAGCAAGTTCAGCAGCTCAGCAGCTCAACCCGCTGCGCTACTCTCACTTGTCATGAGTGCAAATCTGATGACATGTGTGTGTGTGTGTGTGTGTGTATGCTCACATCTTTGCCATCAGAGGAATTTAAATGACTAGGTAAATCTGCCTTCACTTCAAAATCTGTATTTTTAAAAGATTATTCTAAAGTAGAAGTTAAGCACATTCAAAGAGAAAAAGCTAATAGTCTTTTCCACATTACACACTTATAGCACTTGGTTCGTACTTGAATGATCATATTTCTATTTTATGAAGTCTTAGGATTTGAGGGTCTCTGCTGGAGAACTCTAATGCCTCGCAAAGTTACAAACTCCAGGATTCCCTGGGATACAGCTATGGTGGTTAAAGTGACATCAAAGTGGTATAATTGTGGAATGTGAAAGTGATGCTTTAATTTTGTGTTCCTACATGGCAGGGAGTTGGACTGGATGACCCTTGTGGTCTTTTGCAATTGTATGATTCTATGATTTTATGAGATCTGTCAGCAGCTATTTGTTGAAACAGCCATTGACAGTCTCTGTGATCAGAGACGCCATACTTCTCAGGAGGACATGTTAAGGAGTAATATTTGGAGAGTAGAGATGCCTTCCTGTCTTGCTTGTGTACTTCTTGGACCCATCTGTTTGACAATGGTTGGAAAGATGATGCGGAACCAGAACTTCGAAAAATTACTTGTTTGGACCATAAGTCTCATAGTCTCCAGATAACATGTCCAGTGATCATGTTATCTGGAAGATTTGGGGAAGCATAATCCAAACAAATTATTATTCTGTATGAATTATTGGTTCTTCTAATGTTCTTTGGATCCATGCCTACTCGGTTTTAGATATGTATAGCACTGATGCTAGCCGATGGTAAAGAGCAGCACCAAGGGCCAGATCCATTTGATTTTCTCCTTTCCAATTAAATGACTTTTGAACAATGCAGAAGCCTTCTCAATGAGGAATTCTAACCCTTTCACTATAGCTTTGTTGTTGAGGCAGATAATTTTTTTCAAAAAATATCCGGACACAAGAACCAAAAAGCATGTTCCAGTTCAAACCTCATACTTTCCTGACAGCCTTTGTTGTCAAACAATCCACAAGAAAGTTGTCGGTCAGCACTATCCCAATTTGTATTCCCTGGATTTGAGCCATAGGCAAGTTTCCAGCAAAGGAGAAGCCCTGTTGTAGGTAAAATCAAGGCAAGTCCAATGAAAAATCTGAAATCAATAACTTCCAGAAGGTCAGGAACAGCTAGATCTTGCTATGCCCCTGAAAGCCTGTTACATTTCCTTACCTACCCACTTGATAGATCTGGTGCAAGAGAATAACATTTAGTTAGACATCCTCTCTCAACCAGTAGACTATTTTGAGTAGATACATAGTTTGGCAGCCAAATAAAGCTCCAAACCTAGCTGCCCAAACATCCTCTGGATTGTATGTTTGCAAATGAATCTGGCACTACACAGTTGGCTCAGCAAGCACCATGTGTGCAACTTAGCGTGCATAATGTTATGCCATTTCAGGGATGCTGTAATGTAAGCGGGGAATGGTTCTGCTGCATAATTTCTGAAGCACACATGGCAACCAAAGCTCATATTAACAAGTATATTGGCATGGCTGCATGAACTAAAATGCAACTGCTCCAAAGCATTTCACTCACTTTTCCCCATTTAAGAAACAGATTGTGTTGTGATGTTTGAAAATATGTAAACAAAAATGACACAAAGCATGGGGAAATTCTTTTTTTCAGCAATTGTAGCTAAAGGAAAGTGGTTTCTATAGTAAAAAAAGAAAAAGAAATTGTTCCCAGTTCTCAGGTAGGGGGGAAGAAAGGGTACAGATACCTAGCATTTGCCTACAAGAACCATCCTGGTGAGTTGTGAATAGATTCCTCCCTTCCCTTCATGGCAGGTTATTCCTTCTCTGTTATACTCCTTCCTCCCTACTGCCAACATTCATTCTGATATGCATTGGCCCATTTCCTAAACAATATGGTTTTGTCAAAAATTGTGATTCATGAAGCTTGTTTACAGACCATCCCAGAATCACAGAATTGATTATAAGTAATTCATATGGCAAGTCATGCCAGTTATAGTAATAGCATCTGGTAATGCCAAAGTGATTATTATACAAGCCACACATTGTTTGAAATGTGTACAATCCATAGGAATGAATCCAGAAGCCATAGCTCCAGAATTATACAGTAGATTAGCCTCTCTCAACCTTGAGACCTTCTGACGCATAGGCCTACAATTCCCACCACTTATGGGCAGTGGCTGTGCTGACAGAGAATGATGAGAAAAATGGTCCACTATGTCTGAAGGGCATCAGTTTGAGGATTAATAGCATGAAACTGACTTTCTGTTGTTGATGGTTCTCTGATTTAACCTGGTAACATTTATAACAAGCACGATTTAACTAAGAACTGTTCCCATGTAGCCCTTGTTGCTTTTAAGGTGCACTGATTAGTAGCTGAGACTGAGTCAATCCTTGGAATTCAAATGCCTTGCATTTCAGTGCCATTAAAAATAGGGAAATCCGTATTAAGATACCTGAAGGGGTTCTTCACATCTTAGTCCTTTCCAGACAAGCTTGCCACACTTTCTGTGATTGTCCACAGAATGGATTATCCTGGAAAATATGGTTTATGCTTCAAAAAATTATGTTAAAACCTGCTGGGTGATGCAGTGGTGGCATACTCTT